CATGGATCAGACATGGAGAAATAAAAATAAACAAATGGGGTTAATCCAAACTATGAAACAGACACAAAGTGAAAAAAGCTATCAGCACACCAAAAGCACTATATTAAAAAGGGAAATATTGTTACATAACACATCGGATACTCCTGGGTCTGCATGTAAACAAGTGACCGGTGCTCAGTGGTCACCAGCTCTGCCCCTAATATGGCACCTGCAGACAATGTGCTATGAACCTGTAACCCAGGACCCTCCATGGGCTCCTCTGTCCCAGCCTCCAGCCAGAGCCTGCTATATGGCAGGACACATGCAAATAGGGCCGTCCCCTGCTGCTGAAAACAGCCCAGCCTGGGTCTGCAGCTCTGCACAGGAGCCCAGCAGGATTCCAGGGTCCAATCGCGTCAGGACAGATGTGGACTCTCACCATGGAGCGTGGGCTGAGTATACTGCTCCTCCTGGTTCTTCTAGGGGGTCAGTCCTGGGGAGTAGGAGACCCTGAGGAGTGGAGGAGACAGAGCGGGAGTGGTCACGAGATCCGGTGTCCTCACTACTGTGTCTCTGTTTGTAGGTGTCTGGTGTGAGGAGAAACTGTTGGAGACTGGGGGAGACTTGGTGCAGCCTGGGGGGTCTCTCAGACTCTCCTGTGCAGCCTCGGCATTCACCACCAGCAGCTACTGGATGTACTGGGTTCGCCAGGCCCCAGGGAAGGGGCTACAGTGGGTTGCAAGGATTTATGCTAATAGTGGTAGCACAGACTATGCGGACTACGTGAAGGGCCGATTCACCATCTCCAGCGACAATGCCAAGAACACAATTTATCTGCAGATGAACAGCCTGAAGCCCGAAGACACGGCCGTGTATTACTGTGCAGGAGACACAGTGAGGGGAGCAGGTGTGAGCCCAGACACAAACCCTGCAGGGACAGGAGGTGGCTGGGCGGGTCACTGGGGCATGGTCAGGACCAGGGAGCTAAGGATAGTGGAGGCACAGGAGGTGCAGAGCACAGAGCACAGCCAGGAGCAGGTGCAGGGTGGGGCAGGGGCCTCCTGCCTGGGGCTCCCTCTGCAAGGCCTCAGCTCCCCAGGGGCCACTGCTCCTCTCTGAGAGGCTCCCACCCCCATTCCTGGGGAGCTCATATGGGGGAGGTGCTCACAGATGAGACCTGCCCAGGGACTAGACCCTTCTCCTATTCTCAGGAGCTGGGCAGTTTCTTCACAACAAATCTCCCTGAAGCTCGACAAGAGCAATGGGCAGTAATATGGACAAGAAACAGCTCCTCAGCCGCACGTACTGCTGACGCAGCCCAGACGTCCTGCCCCTGTCAGGTCCTGGGGGCTGAGGGAAGGGCCTGACACCTGGGCCAGGGTCCTGAGGGGTCACCTGACAGCATGCTGTTAGGGAGGGAGACTGGGCAGGAAGGTGCTTTGGCAGGTGAGGGGGAGGGGGATCGGGATTGGAGCCCCTGGACTCAGATTCCTCTTCCTTCTCTGCTGTACCCTGCAAGCTGGGGTCTCCCCAGGTGCCCTGTGTGGGGGCTCAGTTCCCTCCCCAGGTCCTCTGCTTGAGGAAGAGGTGGACAGGCCGTGGACATGACATGAGTGACCTGGAGATTTGGGGAGGGTCTGACGGTCACAGGAGAACAGAGAGGCCAGAACAGAGTATTGGTACCCGAGTGTCAATATGATATTTGAAAGATTGTTCTGAGAACATGGACAAATCTAAGGTGTAAGAAAAAATTAAAGCAAATACCTGGAATTAACGGCTGGTCCAGGGGCCTCCCTGGTGCGCCAGGGGTTTAGCCGCAGACAGTGAGGCTGCCCCAGCCGCTGGGGCCCGATTCCTGCCGGGAGTGACCCCCGGGGCGCAGCAGACCGCTGCCCCCATGGCCGCCTCAGCAGTGAGCTCCAGTTGATGGCCTGTCTGCTCCCCACTCTGTCCTGGGGAGTCCTCGCCCCCCACAACTCCTGCCTGTACCCTAGTTTTGGGTGCATAATTTTTTGAAAAAATTTAAAAAATAGGACTTCCGGAAGAGTAAAGACGCCGAGATCACCGCGTCCAAGCCTGCATAGGAATTGAGGACTGAAAACGGACTATAGACTTACTTACTACAAGTTTCAACCCAAACGAAACACCCTGGACTCACTAGAAGGTAGATAACTGAGAGGGAATCGGCGATTGGGGAGTTCCCAGAAGGGAACTCCTGGGAAGACCTGGGCCCCTGGAAGGTCCACGGGCTGCAGTAGCCTCTTTGCCCCACGCTAAACCCTGGAGGTAAAGGCTCAGCTCAGTGAGTGGAGCCCAGGCTGTGGAAAGACTGCAAATCTGATCCTCAATACCTGGGTGAGGGAAAAACCGCTGAAGTTGCAGACCCGATCCGGAGCACCTGGGCACCGCACAAAGCCGCTGATCAGCTCGACCAGCTCGGGAACTGGCAAGATAGCGGCAGAATAAAGATGCCAAGACGACTACATCCAAACTCGCACGGGATTATACAAAAACGGACTATAGACTTCGTTGCTACGAGTTTCAACCCAAATGAGAACGCCCTGGACTCACTAGAAGGAAAATAACCGAGGGAGAACCAGTGATTGGGGAGTCCCTATAAGGGAAGCCCCACAGGCAGGAACTGATCTGGGAATGCCAGCAGCTTCCAACTCGCTGGGCTCCTTTAAAAATCTAGGCGGGGAAGGGCAGGAAGCTCTGCAGAGGGAATCTGCCTGAGGCGGCAGCTACAGTTGCTCAGCAGTCTTTTGTCCCAGCCCTGCTACAACCCTGGAGATAAACTGAGACAATTCAGCTAGGGAGGGGAAACCAATTTATGAGAAAAGGCTGCAGCTCAGAAACAGAGGCCTGAGGATAAGCCACAGACCTGTTGCTGACCTTTGCCCCAGCAGCCCAGACAAAACCCTGGATATAAACTAAGATAACACAGCTAGGTGAGTGGATCCCAAGCTGCTGCGGGGGGCGGGACCTAACCACAGGCCCAACCCTAGGATAATGCAGCAATTTTAACAACCTTGCATGGGTACATTTAACATAGAGAGG